ATAATGACCTTTATCACAATATGCTAATTTTTTGAGAAGGACCTGTACATCTACAAACAGATTAAGATTTGGAGTCAGCTCAACTCAAGACAACACAGCCACTGCTCTAAAAGAATGCACACAAAAATGATTCAGACTCAGTTTTACTGATAAGGAGCTAAAATCTCATGTGGTAGTAGCCAAGACCAAGCCAAAAACGTGTGCTTCCAAGTGCTAACAAAGAGTGCAAATTTGCCATTTACAATTCTGAAGTCAGCTATGGCTGTTAGTAAAATATCTCAATAACCACTGGATGGATTTTAATTATGCTTTCATAAAGTAATCATTAAAAGAGCAGCTACAGGAAGATGGCTACCACACCTAATATTAGCCAACACAGAAATGGCTGTATCACTTTCACAGATATTGAACTAAAGTTGGATGTGGTATCAACCAAGACATACATGGCACACACTCAGTGTGACATCTCAGATCACGTTCAACATTCAACCAAAACTACAATCGTGTCAAAATCACAGCTTAGTTTAAAACTCTTGTCACCAGAGATAACAGGGGACGTGCATTATTTGAATGAACACCTGGTATGATGAGGAAACTTGACAACAGGTGTAGGGCTGAGGTTCTTAAACGGCACCGACCGTTCACATGTGCAGCGCATGTTGTCGAACGGCTTCAACAGCACACGCAACTTTCTGCTTCCGTGTTTTTCTGCAAGGAGAGAGGACAGCAGCTCCCCCCCCCCAGCATTAAAGTCCGCCTGTGAGTGTTAGTGAGCATGAACGGCCTGATTCATTATCTCCACAACCGGACTCCTCTTCATCAAAGAACTCCGAGGACAGAGCTGTGTGTGGGATTTCAGCTGGTAAGTTTACGTTTGTTAACGTTACTGCAGCTTAACACGTACATCGCGGTGAGTTAAACTAGAATCCATGTAACGCTAACTTTAAGATATTAGTGTGGAGCTTTATTTTATCTACGTAGCTAGCTAAACTCAGAAGCTAACTAAAGATTGACACTACCAGATAAAGCTTGTAAAAATGTACTCATCCATCCAGTCAGCTGCTTAAACAGTTCACCTAATGTTCGTTTATGTTAATGTTCTCCTCACAGGAGGTTCTGACCCTGATGTGAGGACAGAGACAGACAAAAGAAAAGTGAGGTGGGGGCCACAGGACAGCCACAAACTTTGTTGTTACAGTTTGCTGCTTTTAACTACAGTGGAGGCTTCATGGTGGAGGTAAGTAAACTTTAAAGGATGTTGTTGACAGTTAAGCTTTTATTTCTCAGCTTAGATAATGTTTTTTGAGCAATAATAACACAACCATGTTATTGTTGATGTTTTGTTCTCATGTCAATTAGGGAGATGATCAGAGCCTGAAACCCCAGAGAACCACAGAGAAGATTCAGGCAGAGACACAGAAGTGCAGAAGTCTGCATCAACTCTAACCTCAGTGAATCCAGTGACCTGCTGGTGGAATGTGAGGGACAATATGTCAGTCCTGTCAAACTGACAACCAGGTATCTGTGTGTGCAACAAGCATCATCTACAGCCTCAGAGTGAACATTTTCTACTGCTGGAGACACCATCAGCCAGGAGTGGGCTTGTGTGTCCAGAGAAAGCAGACATGTTGTTGTTTCTGAAGAAAAACTGTTCAGTGAAAAGGTCCTCAGTGTGTAACAGTGAGCATTAGACACTGACGTGTCAATGGTTTGAAACAGTTGTTCTGACCTGGAAATTATTTGTTTATTTTTATGTAAGGAAACTGCTTGGAATAGAAAAATACCAAAGTTAAAAAAATAAAACTCACGATTTGTACTGTAATGTGTAACGTAATTTTATTCTTGTTAGAATTAATAGTGATTACAAAATTGGTACCGAAAAAAGAACCGTCCAGGAACCGACACTGAAGTGAAGGTACCGACACCGGTACCGATACAGATTTTTTTAGAATGGTACCCAGCCCTACACAGGTGAGTGGTTCATGACATCAGATAATTCAAAGATTCTTATGCCAAGTCTCTGAAGATTAATGAGGTGATGCTACAGAACTCCTTACCTGGAATATGGATATGGCTTCTGTTTTTTAAATGTGCTCCTCTCAGGTAGCCATAGAGTGACACAGTCCTGTCACACTTGGGGTCGGTCCTGATCTTCTCAGGATCTGTTAGGTCCTCCATGCTGCAGAGAGGACGACAGAGGCCAAACTCTTTAAAGAACCCAGTAAAATAAAATAAGAACATCCAAGTAAAAAAGGTAAGGTACACTTCAGTTAACAGAGGACACACTGAAAGAATAATTTCCCTAACATAATTTGATAAGCAGAGGTGGAAAGAGTACTAAAACAATGTACTCAAGTACAAGTATAGGTACAAATTTACTTGAGTAAAATCTACTAAAAAGTACAAAGTTATTTAAATTTTTACTTTGAGTAAATGTTAGTTATTTTCAGCGGGAGGGCGTCTTTAACAAATCTGTTTGTAAAGTATCAATTCACAACAACAGTTGTTTCAGGTCACTGTACAAACACACTTTATAAAATGTCAAACAGTAAAGTGGTCTAAGGAAGTTAGCAGATTGTATCAAATATTCACTTCGTTGCAACCTCCCATCCTAAGCAGCACACCAGTGATGGTGGAAAGGAAAACTCCCATTCAACAGGAAGAAACCTCCAATGATCATCTCCACCAGAGGAATTCTTCTTGGTGCAACCGCAAAGTTCAGCCCCCTGGCAAGAATCTCTGTCTCCAGCTGGGTGAGCTGTTTGTCAGATAAATTCTTCACCCACTTTCGTACCTGTACACCTGTACACTTGTGTACACCTGTAGTGTGCATGTGCCACTTCACACTTGCAGAGCATTTCACCCCTCCGTGAGTGCTTCCCCTGAAAATCTCCACTCTGAGACCTGGATTCAGAAAGCTTCAGTTTCAGACACAATGAGGATGTTGTCTGTAAATGAACAGTTGAACGTTTCATGTCGTGTAAATGGAACCTCAGACTGACTGCCCTGTCTGTCAATCAAGAAACAAATTTCATAGATGGATGATCAACTGACGTCAATTTTTTTTATGCCATGTCATCTACACATAATACCTTTTGAGATCAACCGGTAGATCGTGATCGACGTACTGGACACCCCTGCCCTAGATATTTTTGTTTTATTTTTTAATCAGTCCCATCGAGCTAACAAAGCTGCAGAGTAGTGAAAGCCAGCAGGTGAACAGAGGAGGATGTGGATTGTGTCGTCTTACCGGTCAACCAGTACATAAGGATGAGAGGTCTGCCACACCAGAGGACGAAACTTCATGACAGAGATGAAGCGGCCGAGGTTCTTCACTTCCTGAGTCTGATATTCTCCATACACCATCCCCGACAAGTAGAACAGCTTGGCTCCCTGCAGGTTCACACACAACAAGCACACATGGAGGAACAAGGTTGGGCAAAAAGCCTTCAGCAGGAAAGGACAGCTGTTGGATTTACTTGATAAACTTCTGTCCAAAAACGGTGTTTGAGCTTCTTCTTGGTCTTCCTCAGAGTTTTGTTGGTCTTGAATGAATCCAGGTGAGTCAGCACGCCCATGATCCGAGGGAAACCGTGCACCTGACAAATGTTGAGGAACTCAAACGTCTCCATCTCAAAGCCAAAGCTGGCATCAATTAACATCAACACCTGGAGACAGGAGGAGCAAGACATCAGCTTCCAGCAGTCCGACAAGCTACTCTGTAAAATACTAAAGAAGCATTTCATCATTCTTCTACATCTTACCAGGTCAGCAACCTTCGCCAGGTCAATCATCGTGTTGATGTCGTTGTTACACTCCATGAATGTCAGCCGACGCTTTTTACCTGAAAACAAATAGAAGAAATTCATCAGTGTTCAAAAGATACATCTTATTTCCTGTGTTGCATCTCAGCTAAAGTTGAAACTAACAGTTCAGATGTAGTGCAGCCAGGAGGATCGTTTCTAATGCTTTCATATCATTTGACTTGTTGGAGTTAGCTTCTCAGATAACCTCAGTTTGAAGTCAGAGACTTGAATTCTGCCTGAACAGCTGAGCTAACGCCTAGTTCAAGCTGCTGTACCCCTGAAAAACATGTCAGTTGTCAGACTAGCCATTAGCTCATCAGTCCTGTCAGAATCAAACACCAGTTCTCCAAACAATCTGGAACAGGTAAGATGTGAAGTCTTTACAATCCGTTCTCGCAACTTTTTAAATATCAAGTCAGAAGTCGAGCTCACCAGAAACAACGGTAACAGGTCCACAGATGTTGCTGAGCTTTTGACGAATGAAATTTTTGACCAGGCAGCGAATTAGGGTGCTTTTTCCAACTTTCGGGGGACCAACAACAGCAATCACAACTGGTGGAGGTTCTAAAGGTGTTCGGTCCACAAGAGGGATGTGATGTTTTTTGGTTTTTAAGTCCTGAGCCCTGAGAAAGAACAAGTCAACAAGCATGTAACAGAAACAGTGTTAGCATCTTTAAACTAGAATATGAAAGTCTGAATGACTGACTAAAGGTAAATGACTCAAAGCAAAATACTAGCTAAAAGATGCTGGTGAACATTCTCAGTGCTATACTTCATTCATTCAACCTTTATTTAGACAGGTCAGTCCCATTGAGCCTCGAGGACTCATTTACAAGAGAGACCTGATTTCAACAAAGAATGATGACAACAATAGACAATTATAAAAATGCTTACAGATATCCAAAAAAGATTAAAATAAACACAGTGGGACTTGGTTTTTTATGTAGGTAAGTCTTCAGCTACTGAAAAGTCCAGTTGTTTTGCTTTGTTTGGACTGTATAAAAGAAGGTAATAACAGAGAAAGGATGCTAAAGCAGATTCAAAAGAATGTTTTTTTAAGGATTATCATGAGCATGAGAAACTATTAGAAAATAGATTTAAAATATTCAAAGTATAGACGTTACAAGTAGGCCTGTCACAATAACAAATTTTGTTGGGCATTTAATTGTCTCAGAAATTAATGTGATAAATGATAATATTGTTTGAAATTTGACAATAATTAGCAACTATTGTCAAATTTAAGAAGAAATGTTGGTTAATTTTTGAATGTAGTACCTTTATTGACCACTAGATGGCAGTATAAGACTGTTTGAACCGAAGGATGGATAGTGAGGGAGCGAGCAGCGTGTCTCTAAGAAAAATGGGAGGGAGGCCCCTTGACGTGACATGGGCTGTCTCTAGTTCCTGTTTTTCGATTCTCAAAATGGCAAACGCTCTGTGTGGTTTGAGCTCTTTAGCATAGCATTTGTCACACAAAGCTTAGCTGTTAGCTTAGCTCGTAGCTTAGCTGCTTTTAACGATCCAGACGCGATTTTGGATGATTAAAACGGATTTTAAAGAGAAACGAGAAAGGGAGGGGTCAGTGAAGAGCTAGTTGAGTCTTTTGTCATCCAGTGTCTTCAAGAGAGAGACATGAAGAAATGATAAAGCCGATAAATTAAAATGAGGTTGATAATTTTCATTCATCGTGCGATTAATTGATTTATTGTTTATCGCGACAGACCTAGTTACAAGACAACAAAAGTCATAGCACCCATCTCCTGAATAAATTGAACGTTTTGACTAATGAATGAATGACAAAAAAAAAAAAAAAAAAACCCACACAAATAAAACAGCAAAGATGACAAAAAAGCAAAGAAAAACAAAAACACACAGGAAGACGATGGTGTGACTGCTGACTCAGCATTTATCAAACACAAACCTGTAGAAGGTCTTGGCCATCCGAACAGCAGACTGAACTGTGAAAGCTTTAGGGTTGCGTTTTCGTTCATCCTCCTCTTTTGATGCGCCCTGCTTCTTCACCTTCTTCTTCTCTGCCTTTGGTCCACTGTGCTTCTGCTGGTGCTTCTTCTGCTTTTTCTCCTTCCTCTCCATCCTGGCTGCTGTAAAGCACAAACAATCAGACATCACCCGACAGCAGGCGTGGGAACAACATCCTGTGGGGACACAGATGTTTATCCTTCCTGCAGAGCAGTTGGACGAAAACAATTAGACAATACTCTAAGGTTTGATTCAGTTTTAATAATGGCTGGCATTCCAAACGAAAGCATCCAGAAAATACTGATTCAGAAATGTTTGCTTTATTCTTTTCACCTTGGTTTACCTGTGGAAAACAAAATTATAGGTCTGAATATTAAAGTCTACAAAACAGCAGGTGTAAAGGACCTAAAGGGTTGAACAGATCCCTGACCTTTGTAAAAAAAAAAAAAAAGGTCATTAACTCAGGGTGGAGACGGAAACAACAAGATGATGGACTCAGGCGGTCTACAGTTTTCTCTGCAGGACTTTCCCTTAGAGATAAGGTTGAGCTTTCCAGGAGACTCAGACCAGAGCTGCTGCTCCTCCACTTCCACAGGAACCAGCTGATGTGGTTCAGACATCTGTAAGGATGAACGCTGGATGCCTCCCGACCCTAGGGAGGTCTTCCAGACATGATCATGTAGACTGAGGTTGTTTTGAAAAACATCTGATATGCATCTGATTTAGTAGCACGTGCCCTCGGCGGGTCTGGGAACAGCTTCGTGTCCTCCCAGAAGAGCTGGAAGAGGTGGTTGAACCTCCTGCTCAGGTCGCTGCTCTAAAGATGACCAGCTGATACATGGATGATTATTGCACACACACTCACTGTGTGGTTTAAACTCTTTTTCTCCAGGTTTTTAAGTGTTCAGAACCAAAAACAGATCAGCTTACATCATACTGTCAGCTGAGCCAAAATGCTGCTAACAGAGTTAATGAGAGTTGATAGGTCATATCTCTCCAGTTAGCTTTACTGGCTCCCTGTCAAATCCAGAATAGAATTCAAAATCTTACTTCTAACCTACAAAGCTCTCAACAACCTGGCTCCATCTTATATTACAGAGGTTATTGTTCCATATTTTCCTAACAGAGCACTTCGCTCTCAGACTGCAGGTTTACTTGTGGTTGCTGCTAGCTTCCTATAACTTTTACTAATCGGTTGTACGTGAATATTTCTGTACAGAGACGACTTCTCTTGTGACTTGTCGCTATTTAAATGAACTGAATTGTCAGAGGAGCTCTGAAACTGTTAGTAAAATAACTGAGTGTCAGTGTAAAGATGTTCGCTACCTGAAAACGATGACCACTGCAGTCTCCTGTTTTCGTTTTCCACGCTCACGTGTACAACTCCAAACCGGAAGTACCGCCGTGTCCTACTGAACCGAGTGTAAACAAGTTCGTCGTGTTAAGGTTCCGCACCATAGATAATATTATTATTATTATTATTATTATTATTATTATTATTATTATTATTATTATTATTATTATTATTATTATTATTATTATAACGCTTTTAGAATGAGCTTTTGTTAAACGACATTTATGGATGTAGAATTTGGCAAACATTATAATATTATTGATCAAATATTCATTTTTTTATTCTTTAATAAAATTCCAAATTTTATTACTTTCCAAGAAAAAAAAAAAAACAATTTTAAGAGACTTAGATATCAACCAGTTATGTAACTCCTTCCAAAAACCACTTACAGTCTCACATTCGTAAAACACGTTCTGTTGATTCCAACATTGATTTACAAAAATAACAATTTTCCATTTCAAAATTGAATATTATTTTAAAGAACTCATGTGAAGGGTAAATTTCATTTACATTTTAAAGTGGATTTCTTTCACTTTAGGAGGAATTGGAAATTTCAAAAATTTAGTTCTGATTGATCTAATTTCTTGTTTGTTAAAGTATTTTTTTTATTGATATGTTATTTTGGAGGACCCAGGATAGATCTTGTTGATTAAAAGATTTCTCAAAACTATATTACTGCATTTTTTATCTACAAAATTTATATCATTAATTATTATTTTATGCAATCTGGGGGTTGGGATCTGATCCAGATTATTCTTGATTAGGTTAATCATAACATTTGGAATGTTATCAATTACGTTTTTGTAATCCTCAGGGGTACAAATTATTTTATATTTATTACAAAATTCTTCGTATTTTAACCAATCTCATTTATCGTTTATCAAATGAACAATAGACCAAATTTGTTTTTCCATCCATCCTTTCATAAACATTGATTTCTTCTCTTTAGAATCACCCTGTTATTCCACAATGGGACATTATGTGGACTAAAGTTATGCCTGAAAATCATTTTCCAGTAAAACAAGACCTGCTGATGAAAAGCAGAGAGTTTCACGGGTAACTTTGAAACCTCAAAGTCACATTTTAACAGGAAATCAATGCCACCTAATTTCTTAAACACAAAGTTAGGTAAAGAAAACCAAATATCTTCACTACATCTCAAAAAAGAATGGAGCCATCTTAGCTTTAGGACACCATTCATGGTTTCAAAATCAATGGCTTTTATTCCTCCCTCCTCATAACTTTTAATTATATCTGCTTTTCTGATATAATGATGTTTATTCTTCCAAATAAAATTGAAAATTAAGGTGTTTATTTCTTTTATGGTTTTTATGGAAAGTGGTAAAGAGTAAATGGGATATATTAGTCTGGAAATAAATTCAGTTTTTGTCAATAATGATCTTCCAAATAATGTTAAGTCTTTCGTTACGTACGTTACGTTGCGTTATGGAGAGCTTTTTTATATGTTAGCAGACTATCTTTCCAAGTTAAATAAAATTCTTCAACATTAGCAGAGCGCCATTTTCTCTCCTGGTTTCTAGATGCTGCTTTAAAGTACGTAATTCAGAATTGAACCAAGGAGCCAGTTTCCTCTGATTGATTACTTTATTTTTCAGTGGAGCAATTTTATCAAGTCAATTTTGCATTGAAGTTGTAAGATGATCAACTAGATGATCTAAGTCTCTGTTCTCTCATGCATTACTCTGCAAGACAGAGGAAAACATTGATGGAAGAGATTGTTTAAATTTGGTTACAACATTTTCAGATAAGACGAGCAGCACGGTGATGCAACTGGTAGAGCTGCTGCCTCTCAGCGAGCAGGTCCTTGGTTCAAACCCCGGTCCAGGGGCCTTCTGGGTGGAGTTTGCATGTTCTCTCCGTGCATGCGTGGGTTTTCTCCGGGTACTCCGGTTTCCTCCCACAGACCAAAAACATGCATGTTAGGCTGATTGGTGACTTTAAATTGTCCCTAGGTGTGAGTGAGAGAGTGAATGGTTGTTTGTCTCGTTTGTCTCTATGTGTCCCTGTGATGGACTTGCGACCCGTCCAGGGTGTACCCCGCCCCTCACACAGTGATTGCTGGACATGGGCACCAGCGACCCCGTGACCCAAAATGGAATAAGCAGGTAAAGATAATGGATGGATGGATGGATATTTTTTCCCCATCTATAGTAATGCCCTCAATTTCAGAATTTTTTAACCGGATGGACAATAACTCAGCGACTGTAATAAAAAACAACAGAGATAAACTACACCCTTGTCTTCTGCCTCTTCCTATATTGAATCTAGTGGTTGTACCTTCAGGAAGGGAAACACAACTATTAATTTCTGTAAGTAACATCTTAATTATGTTCAAAAAATATTCACCAAATCCAAAGTGTTGTAACGTTTCATAAATGAAAGGATGTTCAACTGAGTCAAATGCTTTTTGAAAGTCAAGAAATAAAATATAAGCATCATCTTCCACCAAATCACTATAATCTATGAGATCTAAAACCAATCAATATTATTATGAATTGATCTACCTTTCATGAATCCTGACTGAGAGCTGCTTATGATTTTTGGAAGATCAGCTTTTAACCTAGATGCCGGTGCCATGGTAAGGAGTTTATAGTCTGTATTCAGAAGAGTGATAGGTCTTAGATTGTGTAATAATCTTTTGTCTTTTTCCGGTTTAGGGATTAATTTTATTAAACCTTGTTTCATCATTGTCATCAATTCCTTTTGGCTGATACTTTCTATGATTGCATCAAATAATAAGTGTTTTATTTCTTCCCAAAAATGCTTATAGAAATTAGCAGTTAAACCATCTGGACCAGGCAAACAATTAGATTAATTTTTTTTTTATAACTTCATCTAATTCTGCTAATTTTAAATTTTCTTCACACAAATTTTTTAAATGATCATCTATTTTGGGAATCTTATCTCCTGTTGATTGAAAAAAAAAATAGTGAATGCTGTTCACAATAAGAGGGAGAATAAATGTTACTATAAAAGTTATGAATTTCCCTAGAAATTATTTTTGATTTTGCACATTCCTCCCCATTAATTAATAAACAAGAAATTGCATTTTTTTTCTAGTCTTCCTTTTTCCAGCCTATTAAAAAAGGATGAATTTTTTCCCCCCATCTTTCTTCACTTTGCTCGTGATCTTATGAATGCACCTTGGGCTTTATTGAGATAAAGCTGCTCTAATTGAGACTGTATATTTGAAATTTCTGTTTCATCTTCTTCTGACCAATTCAATTTAGAGTAATAATTTAGCAAAGTTTTAACCAGATTGTTTTCCTTCTCCTTTTTTTCCAATGCTTGTCTTTTACTAAAGGCAATAGAGTTTTCTCATTAAAAATTTTAAAAGTTCCCATTTTTGTATATTAGATAGGTTATCCTGATGCATGCTCAATAATCATAATCAATAATAATAATAATATTATAGGCAGAAACATGGGTGTGCTATGGGGTCTCCAGTTTCTCCTATTGTTGCCAACCTGTACATGGAGGAGGTAGAAAAGAGAGCCTTGACGTCCTTTTCAGGGACACCACCAAGTCATTGGTTCAGGTATGTTGACGACACCTGGGTTAAAATTAAATCTCAGGAAGTCCAACATTTTACTGACCACATCAACTCTGTGGATAAATACATCAAGTTCACACGAGAAGATGTAAAAAATGGCAAGTTGGCTTTCTTGGACTGTGAGGTCTCAGTCTCTGATAGAGGACATTTGCAAACCGAGGTGTACCGCAAACCCACCCACACAGACCAGTATTTGCAGTTTGACTCCCATCACCCTTTGGAGCACAAGTTAGGAGTCATCAGGACTCTGTATCACAGAGCAGACAGCGTCCCTACTAGCTCAGGAGCCAGGCAGAAGGAGAAATCCTACACAAGACAGGCTCTAGAGCAATGTGGATATCCTAACTGGGCCTTCCTGAAAGCAGAGAAGAAACCCAAACAGGACTCCAGTCAGCCAACAGGTGAAAAGGAGGAACCCAGACCCAGACCAGTGGTCATTCCGTATGTTGAGGGAGTATCAGAGAAACTGAGACGTTTATTTTCTAAACATAATGTCCCAGTGGCTTTTAAACCCCAAAATACATTACGGCAAAGACTGGTTCATCCCAAAGATCCAGTCCCCCGGCACAAACAGAGCAATGTTGTGTATGCTGTTCAGTGTCAGGAGGGTGATCAGTCTTACATCGGGGAAACTAAACAGCCACTGGCCAAAAGGATGGACCAGCACAGAAGATCAACATCATCAGGCCAGGATTCTGTGGTCTACACTCATCTCCAGGTCAGCGGTCACTCTTTCAAGGATGAAGATGTTCACATCCTGGACAGAGAGGAACGATGGTTTGAGAGAGGAGTAAAGGAGGCCATCTTTGTGAAAAGAAATCGTCCATCGTTAAACAGGGGTGGAGGCCTCCGGGTTCAACTGTCCCCCTCTTACAATGCTGTGATTGCTAGTATCACTCAGCCCTCTGTGAACAGTAAACAGCCATCAGTGTGCTAATGATCCATTGTTAGGCTGATGGTCCTTCTTGAGCATGTGATCAGCTGGATTTGGTTGGCAGCAGCAAAACTGGTTGATCCACTCTGAGAAGGTGCTATTTAAGAGACTGAGCTGAATACAGCACCTAAGACTGAGGAAGTCTCTTGGATGAGAGACGAAACGTTTCTATATTTTTTTGCTTTGTTTTGTTTTTTGTTTTTTTGAATGTCCAGAGGACCAGATTGAACTTTTTTGGATTAGATAGGTTAGTATTTTTATTAATGTCTAAAATTAATTCTTTAATATTACAACAATATAGATTATTTTTTAAAAGGGATGAATTGAATTTCCAATAATCTTTTTTACTTCTAGAGAGAGTCTGATTAGAGATTATCAAATTTATAACACAGTGATCACTAAGAGGGTTTATGGAAATATTAGTAGAAAGTTTGAACTGCATTATGGGAGCGGAAACCAACCAGTAATCAATTCTCGATTTAGAGTTTCCATTAGGTTTTAACCATGTGAATTGTCTTGTGTTGGGGTTATTGATCCTCCACACATCCTACAGGC